CTGAGCGTCATGGGGGAGCCGCGCCCACACCCTGACGCCCCGCCCCTTGGGAGCTTTGCTGGCCTGGCCTGGCAGGACGTGGCCCATTCCACTGTAGGAAAGGTCACTCAACCCAACCAGGAGCCTGCTGCAGGGGGAGGAACCGGTGGAGACAGAGGGGTGGGTGGAGAATATGCGGACTATCGCAGGAACGGTCCTGGGAGCTTCACAGAAAGCCCCTCCACCCTCCAATGTTACCTCAGGCCCTTATATCCCCATGTCGCAAGTCCTCAGGCTGTCTGAAGGATGCTGGGACAAAGACACAGTGGCTCCAAGAAGAGGGAAAGTGGTACCTGCAAACCGTACGGCCGCCTGGCGGATGGGGGCCTGTGGGCTCTTGAAGAGAGTCGTACACTGCTTCAGAAACCAGAGGGCCTTGTTTGCCTCCTGCCGCAGCTGTAAGAGGAGGAGCTGGATTAGGTAAGGTGCCCACTGTCAGTCCTTCTGCCCCCCTCAGAGACATCAGCTCGTGCAAAACCCTGTCAAAACATTCTAGGGGTGCCTGGCTGTCTCACTGGCGGAGCATGCGACTCTTGATCTTGGACTCATGAGTTTGAGCCCCTCCATTGGGTATAGAGATTATTTTTTAAAATAAATTATTTAAACAAAATTCTACATCTCCATCCCTTCCCACCCCAGCTCCTGAAGTCTTGTTCCCTCCATGAAGCCTTCCTGGATTGACAGGGGGATCACTTTCCAATAGATTTACCCCAATCTTTCGCTCACACATTCCTCCTACTCCCAAGCCTAGAGGAGTGAACCCCGTTGTTTCAATATTGCTTTTGTATGTCTTGGCTTAAAATCTTCAATCTCAAGGTCATTTGTTCTAGGCTGCAATAGAATCAATCATGTCTACACCCTTCTATTTAAACAGAGCCAAGCAGGGCCACATGTAATTAAGTGTTTTAATACTTTTCTTTCCCTGCCTAGGCATGCACACACTTCATCCAGATTCCCTGCCTTGAAGGTTCTGGGGGATGACATGTTCTGCCTTTTGCAAAGACCTAACCCCATCCCCTGCGTGTCCTTCCCAGTGACTCTCCTACTCCCCCTTTACACTGCAGCCTGAGTACTCAAACGAGGAGGCTACATCCATGGTTTGTCAAACTCTTTTTGGTAGAACATCTTTTCTTCGAACAAAAATCCTAACTGGAAACCTAAGATTCTGAACCAAAAGAAGTGGGACTGCTCCGGTTGAAGGGCGTGTGAGATGCAGCCCCACCCACTGCTCATCTCCCCCAGGTTTGAAGTTACCCTGAGAAACCCTTGGATTCTTGCAACCTGGTCTCCTTGCACCATCCTGCTGATCCAGATCTGGCCTCCATGGTCCAAACCCAACACGCACATCCAGCCTTTATCTCCCTGGACTCTCCCTCCTCTCACCACCCACTGTTGACCACTCATCGCTTCCTGAAACTGTCTTCTTCCTAAATGACCGCCACCCTCCTCTCCTCTTGTTCTTCTATTTCTCGGCCTGGTTTCCTTTCCTAGTCTCCTTCCTGGGAGACTTGGAGCTGATGTTTCCTGGGATCCTGATGTCGAACCGTATGCTTCTCCCTCCATGCAATTCCCTTCAATGAGCCATGGTGGCAACTCAGTGCCCACGCATCCGTGTCTCCAGCACGGCTCTGTTTGCCAAGCCTCGGTGATTCGGTGGTTATATCTATTTCCAATGGTATAGATCTCCCAAGCTCTACAAACCTGACATGCACAAAATCAAGCCACTATACTATCTTCCTCTCCACACCTGCTCCTCCCTCTGTATTCCTGACCCCAGTCTGTGACACCAGCATTCGCCCACGTCAGAAACCCAAGAGCTGACCTTCCCCTTCACACTCCACATCAATTAGCTCTCTAGCCCTGGCTCGTCCCTCCATGTCTTTGTCTTCATGATCTCATCTTTTCTCCCTGGATCCTCTCCCTCCAGACCCTAGTGCTGTCCCATGTGAACTTATCCTCCAGTCTGCAACAACAGGTGGTCTGTCTAAAGCGCACAGCTATCTAACCACGGTACCACTGGCGTAGAGCACTTCAGTGGCTCCCTGTTGCCTACAGCGTGAAGTCTTGTGCCTTATTGTGCCCAAACCCTCCCCGCACAGTACAGCCCCAGCTCTTGCTTCCTGCTTCCCAGGTCAAGACTGAATACCTCCAGTCCATGAGCCAAAACCAGCCTGCAGACTTTTTTCATTGGCTCCACACAAATTTTTAAACATTGTAAGTTATTTGCCAAGAAAAATGTGGTAAACTTCACCTAAAATCAGGATTTCCTGCTTGTCTTAACAAAGCGGAAAATCTAGCAACACTGAGCCCGCCCTATTTCGGACTCAATCCATTGGTTCTCAACCCTCTCAGCTGGGGAGTGTACTGTCCCAGGGGAATTAGAGAGCTGGGGGGATGTCTTGGGTTGTCAAAATGATGAGAGGGAGTACACTAATTTCTAATGCCCCATTGCGTATTTGTATCAAAAATCCATTTCTAATTATCTATGCCCAGAACCTGACCCTGTCTTTTATATAAACACAGAATATTTTTTTCACAGTTCAATACACACTCTGGGTTTCCTGGAGATGCATCTACAATATGAAGCAAAGAAAGACTGTAGTTCATGTCATGTAGACCTTCACCAAATATTGTTCATCACTTTGAAAGTCACAACACTAAAGGCCACACTTCTTGTGGCATTTGAGTCCCCAGCACAATGATCTGGTACCATTCTGCATTTGTAATAGGTCAAGTCGTGGAGATTCCACAGAGAAGGTCAAGGAGTCAACTACTTCATCGTGTCTTCCAGAGGAGTGGGGCCCAGCTACTCCCATCTATTATTTATGTTATATTACATTACATTATGTTGTGTTATATCATATTATGTCATGTAGTCATGTCATTTATGTTATATTGTGTCACATACATATTTACACATTATTTTAAAAGTACTTTCATTTCTCCTTTGGAGTTAGGGCATTATGTTTATTTTGGAACTCTGTACAGGTAGATGATATAATCTATGAATTTCATTTTAGGATAAAGGAGGAGTTACTGAGAATGTACCAGAACCAGGCTGTGCGGTGTCTGACCGTGCCAAGAACAGAACAATGTTGTGCACTGTCCTGACCGTGCTGAGAGGCACTGCCTTCGCTGGACCCCAGACCTTCGATTCCCCTCCAGGGCCACCCAGTATGCTTCTCTGATTAATGTTCCTTCATGGCCTTGTAGGCATTTGAGTTTTCTGCCCCTGCTCGCATGAGTCCAAGCCACTGATAGCTCCCCACACACCAGGCTCTTCTGCCCTTATTTCTCAGGATCAAATTATATAAGATGACGTATGCAAAGTCTCTGGAACGGAGTGAGTGCTTTGTTCCACAGCCCTGTGTATGGCAGCACCTTGGCCTGCACTCCTGATCCCTTCTCTTTGCCTAAGTGATATCCTGCTTTCCATTTCCCCCTCTTCCCAGATGACACCTCCTCCGGGAAGCCTTCCTTCAAGTCCCAGACTGGGCTGGGCACCCCTCCTTTGTACTATGAAGTACATTCCTCTCTTTTAGCCCTCACCACAGTATTCTGAATTTGTCTAGTTGTGTGTCTAGTTCCCCAATTTAGGGAGCAATGGGAGGGCAGGAACCAGGTCGAGGTGCTGGGCACAAAGTAGATGCTCATTGAGTGTCTCATTATTAAACTGCAGCTGTTGCAAACCCCAGATGCTTCAGGAAACAGACTGCTGGCCGCCCCACCCTCCCTGCATGGAGCAGAATGGTGAGTAAGCTGCCGCCTTACCAGGGCTCTGAGGATAGTCCACACATCTTTCTCGGCAAATATCACTTTGAGCCTTGACCAGCCCAGTATGGCGGCCGTGCGGCAGAGGGCAGGCCGGCAGATCTGGAGAGACAGGAAGGTTCAGCATGGGGAGTTACGGGGACGGGGCTGGGAGAAGACACAGAAGGGCACAAGGAGGGGAGACAAATGGCAGGAAGTCCAATTCTGGAGGGAGGGAAGAGTCCAGGGAACCCCGAGGGACCCAGGGGTGCGGAGAGAGGCGGGGTCCTCTAGGCAGCTTGGCCATGCGTACACCTGTTCCCCACTAAGGAGCAGGTCCAGACGCCTGGTTGTAACGACTTTCCCAGTTGCTGTGGTACGACACTGAGAGCCAGAGCAATGAAACTATCCACCTCCCAGGCTCATGCACCCACCGCATGGCTTCCCACACCCCGAAAACAGTCTCCCCGAAACGGATTTCCCCAAAGACATCCAGCAGCTTCGTCACTTGTGTCCATCAGGGGCCTTGCCCTGGCAAAGTAGCCTCATCTGGAAACCGAGAGTCCTGTTACAAACCACATCAGCCACTTTGCAACTTTCCCCAGCTGCCGTCACATCCCTGGCCCCCCAGAACATGGACCAATTCCAGGCTCTCTCTGTCCTGCTTCATGGGAACCTCTCTGCTGCTGGTGGTGGTGCAGGGTGTTCTCAATTCAGTGCAAAGGAGCATGCGGGGAGGAACTTGGCGGGAAGGCCATGCAGCCAAGGGCAGAGAACCAGGCAGAGGCACTGTGCCAGACACTAGGATTTTCCTCCTTGGAGTCTTCCCACCCAGGGCATTCCGCTGTGTGCTGGTGACCAGCTGGGGAGGGCCAGGAGGGAGAGAAAACCCTGGTGCAAGCATCTGGTCACATCTGGCCCCTCCCTGCCACTTGCCAAGGTCAGAGACAAAGCAACTCCTCCAGCATCTTCCAGTCTCACTACAGCCCCTTCCTTAGCACTTAACACCTGTTAGCATTTACCTTCTGTGACAACCCGAGACGGAAGACCAGGCTCCAGGGCCTGGCCTCTCACCTGAGCCACGCTGATATTCATATCCTCCAGGTGGAGCACAAGGAGGACTATCAAGTTGAGGACCTGGTGCTTCAAGGGGAAGACAAGCACTGTCCTCTTGACCTTAGCCAAGAGAGCCCTGTAGGTCTCAAAGGCCATCAGGCGCAGCTGCTCAGACTCCTGGGGGAGAAGAGACAGACAGACAGACAGACACACACACACACACACACACACACACACATACACGGAAGACACCTCCACCTCTGTCCACCCTGGAGGGCCGAGGGCCCCGCGCTCCCCGCTCCCAGCGCACGCTCCCACGCACACTCCTGTCCCCCAGGGATCCGTGATCGGACAGCAGCCCCGTTCTGCCTTGTCACTGCCGTCTGCTCTCGGCACATCTCACGCCTTTTACAGATGCTACCCGAGAGGACACACGGAAGCAGACCTTTACGGGATGGCCTCACGTTCGGGCTACAGGGGCCTTTCCGGATAATTCTGCCCAACTCCCTTGGACGCCCAGAGAAGGGAAATGAGCCCGCAAAGGGCTTCACCTCCTCAAAGAAGGGCCCGAGCGTGAAGGTGAGCTGAGTAAGGAAGGAGGACGAGTGCTGCCAGCTGAGGTGCTCGGTGAGACACCTGAGCGCCGCGAGCGCCTCCATCACAATGGCGCTGTCCTGGGAGTAGCAGCAGTGGAGCAGGTGGGGCTGGAGGATGTGGAGCTGTCGCACCTGCAGGAGTGACCACGGCTCAGGAGAGGAGGAGTCCAGAGAGCTACTCCTGCTACGCCAAGGGACTCGCATTTCGATTCAAGCGGATCCAAACAAGAGCCAGCCCTGCCGCGCTCTACCACTGTTCCATCCTGGGACTGGGACCGGGACTGGCCTGGTAAATGGGGGGCAGTCAGAGGGAGCTGCCCAGGAGGACCTTCTGTCCTCATGGGAAAAGGGGAGAAGGCAGAGGAGAGCCCTCCTCCCACTACACCCAGAAGTTCTCAGCTCCACTGTTTTTAGCAGCCCTGGTGATGGTGCCCATCTCTGGGACACCTGGATGGCCTGGGCTCTTGGAATTGGCTTAGCCTTTACTCTGAAGCGATCCCTGGAAGAACCTTCTCTTTTGAGCATGAATGGCACAGGTCCCTGACCCCTGTATCCAGCGAACTGGCTTCATGAGGGTTCCCTTAGTCTGATCCCAAGAATGTGGTCCACCCTGTCTATAATGACACACTGGACCTCCGGGCCTTTCAATTGCTTCCCTGGGCGACAAGATCTCTTGAGAGCATACCCTTGGCCCCCCCGGCCCATCTTACCATGTTCCTGTGCTTTGCAAAGATCCCCACCACCTGCAACAGGAGCTTCACCGTGGCGGGCTCCTCAGAGTGGAACCAGTCTGCCAGAATGCGGACGGCGGCTTCGTCCACTATGGCGGCCACACCTGGGCACCGGAGCAGCTGATAAAAAGAGACCAAGAAAACGGAAATGATGGGCAAGGAGAACAAAAATCCCCAGTGACTTTGAATCTAGGTTTCTATTTATTTATAAAGAAATGGTCTTAAGAACAGGTAAAGAGGCCAAAGCTTAGTTGAAAGGTAACGTCACACTCGATCATTCCAGGAGTCATTCATTCCTCCTGCAGGTTTTCCTCAGGCATCCTTGTTGAGGGGAGCTATAGAGGATAAAAGCAAGGAGTGCACCCACATATTTATGGATAGCTGTGTATGATTATTTGACCGTGGAGAAAAATATGGAAGGATACATATTTGGTTGTTTGCCTCTGAAACCCTTGGGAGGAGGAAGAGGTGGTAGCTAGAACTGATACAGTAGAAGGGAGGAGGCAAAAATAGGAAAGATAAGAAGATGGCTACAATAAAATAAATAGCACACGTGATTTCATTTGTATATTTATGTAAAATTTATGTGGGTTTATATGTCATTTGAAATAAAATTGTAAAAGACAAAAGCTATTCAGATACATTTAGGCCAGAGGAACCTGCTTTTGTGTGTATGCACGCATGCACAAACGTACGTCCACGTTCGCACGTGCAATCCTACTGGCAAAAAACGTTTCCGTGGATGGAGCCTCGGTTTCCACCTGTCTTTGACTGGCAGCCCCGCAAGTTTCTCAAACTCTCTGAGCTTCAGTTTCATCCTCTAGAAAACAGAGATAGTATCGTCTTTTTCACAGAGTTACAGTGAAAATCAGAGTCACTGAGCTCCCCTGTTCCTTGAGTGCCCTGAAGAAAAGCACACGGCCCCGTCTCTTGTCAGTGTTTCTACTTGGGATCATCACAGGGGAATGGCCGAGGGTAACGAAACAAACAGGGAAGTTGTAAAGGGCTGTGAAATACTAGAAAGCTTTCCCAGATGCGGTCTCTTGTTGAAAGACTGTGCTCAGCTGTCTTAGCCGGTGCATAAAACCCCGCTGGTTCTCCACTCTGGTGAACGTCTGAGATGAGGTTCACCCATCTCCTTACTCCGATGCAGTCCCAGACTTCTCCCCAGCCTGCCGACGCCTCCATCCGCTCTTCTCCGCCCGAACATCCCGTAAGGGGGGTAGATGAATAACTGCCATTTACATGTCCACTTGTTTCAGTTGGGTATGATGCATTTGGGGGAGCTTCTAGAGTGGTTCTCAGTCCTAGCTGTATTTCTAGAATACCGCTTAAAACTTGGTAACTTCTAAAATAAACCGATGCCTGGACTTCATCCCAGACCAATTCAAATAGCATATGAAGGCAGGGAGTCAGGAGAGGGAGTGAAGTTGTGGTTTGGCATCAGCATATTTTAAAGCTCCCCGGAGGATTCTAATAGGCAGCCAGAGATCAGAACTGCTCTACAGAGAGTGACAACCATCTTCTGGTGCTCCCTTCCCCTCAACCCTCGCCGGCTTGCCCCTTGTACTGTTTCTCAAACTGAGTCCGAGGACTACCTGTACTGCAACACCCACTGGAGTCTTTACAGAAAACGAAGACGTCTGGGCTTTACTCCAGAGCCACTGAATCCACGGCTCTGGGGATGGAGCCCAGGAATCTGCATTTAAACAGCTTCCTAGTGACATGAGGTCCTCTAATGCTGGACACCTACTGAGTTAAGGCACCCTCTTCTGTGCAGAGTTGTGCACCCTACACCCACATCCCCACATCCCTAGCAGGAGTTCAGCCAACATAACATACATCCTTGAATGCATGTGCCAGCACCCCCTACCAACGTGCACATACTTGCTCACGGCCATGGGCACCTTCCCACAAAACAATGCCCCTACATCAGGACACATTGTGACACGCTAGGGTAATATCTGCTTAGATTCCAGTATTAGCACTGCATTATCTTCTGTTATGGTCAAATGTAATCCTGCTCCATTAAAAAAAAAAATTAGGTGGCTTGAATTTTAAAAGGGAGCCTATTGAAAGCTACAGTGAGCCAGAAATCCCAAAACCTTCCCAGACACTGCTGGTGGAAGTAAAATTTGGTACAACTTTACCGGAAAGTAATTTGGCATTAATGTAAAAAATCATAGAAGACATTCATATTTTTTGAACCAACACTTCTACTTATATTCAATATTTAATACTCTGGAATATGGGCAAAGTCTTTTGCACAGAGGCGTCCCCTACAGTGATATTTATAATAGTGTAAAATTGGAAACAAAACGTCCAATAAATTATAGAACATCTTTGTGATGAAATATTATATCACTGTTAAAATTTATGCTTGAAGATGCTTAAAGAGAGCAAGATACAGAGTATTAGAGAACGATGTCAGCTATGACACGCGCGCCCACCCCTCCCCCCCATTCAGACCAAAACCTAAAAGTGGTTTCCCCTGGGTATTGTGACTGTTAATGGTTTTATAATTACTAAAGTTCTTTTTCATATGTTTTAAATTTTCTACACCTTTTTTCTGTCAAATGGCCAAAATACATTGAGTCAATCAGTGGTACTGAGCAAAGATTCCTTTTAAAATGCTGATGAGGTCGAGGTAGCTGAAGGAAAGAGCAATGTCTTTCCATAAGGTCGGGACAGAGTTAAGCTGCCTTAAGATTCAAGGAGGAATTACACCAGGTATATTCCAAGCCTGTGACTCCAGGCGACCTAATTGTCATTAACAGTGTCCGCCCATCCTTCTCTGAGGCAGGGAGTAAATTAGGCCATCCTTTCCTCCACCAGCCATCCCTGGAGGTGTCCCTTGGGTACAGCTGCCTTCCAGAGGAATCACCCTCACCCGACCTCCTCCCATCAAGAACCACTCACTTCAGTCATAAACACGAGGGCCGTTAAGTGATTCGTATAGTCCTGTTCTTGGAGCATCCTGATGATGAGGCTGAAGATGGGGCGGTTATGCCAACAATTCTTGATGACCATGGTCCTGCCGATGAGAGCAGAATGCTCGGGATCAGACCTGGGCCCCAGAAGAAAGCCAACGGGCTGGGAGGTCGTCTGGCCAGGGACAGGGGCAAGGCCTACCTGGCCAGCAGAGTGACACCCTCATAATGTCTTTCAGGACTGGTGAGCAGCTCCCAGGCCCCAAGTTTCTGAACATAAGACACATAGTCTCCATACCCGGTACTTAGCATCAAGGTCTTCAGGGCCTCCATGCTGGAACTGGAAAAAAGGCAGAAAGCAGACAGGAAGTCATCCCCACCATCTGTGCTCCTCTCCCTTACCTGCAGCCTGCCTGTCTACGCAAATCGTGAACCGCTGGTAGTGGGACAGCCCTTAGAGACCCAGGCTAACATTTTACAAATGAGAAACCAAGGCCAAGAGAGATGTGGGGTCCCTGAGGTGGCGAGGGAAGCCAGCAGAAGGGTAGGGAGTGGAGTCAGGTGCACTGTTTTATCTATTATACTGATTTCACTTGGGTATAGAATCTTGGCATTGGCCCAGTAAGTCAGAAATAAAGAGTCTTGTCCACAATAGCCAAACTGTGGAAAGAGCCAAGATGTCCATCGACAGATGAATGGATAAAGAAGATGTGGTATATATACACAATGGAATATTATGCAGCCATCAAAAGGAATGAGATCTTGCCATTTGCAACGACGTGGATGGAACTGGAGGGTGTTATGCTTAGTGAAATAAGGCAATCAGAGACAGACATGTATCATATGACCTCACTGATATGAGGAATTCTTAATCTCAGGAAACAAACTGAGTGTTACTGGAGTGGTTGGGGGTGGGAGGGATGGGGTGGCTGGGTGATAGACATTGGGGAGGGTATGTGCTACGGTGAGCGCTGTGAATTGTGCAAGACTGTTGAATCACAGATCTGCACTTCTGAAACAAATAACGCAACATATCTTAAGAAAAAAGAAAAAGAAGAAGATAACAGGAGAGGAAGAATGAAGGGGAGTAAGTCAGAGGGGGAGACGAACCATGAGAGATGATGGACTCTGAAAAACAAACTGAGGGTTCTAGAGGGGAGGAGGGTAGGGGGATGGGTTAGCCTGGTGATGGGTATTGAGGAGGGCACGTTCTGCATGGAGCACTGGGTGTTATGAACAAACAATGAATCATGGAACACTGCATCAAAAACTAATGATGTAATGTATGGTGATTAACACAACAATAAAAAATTAAAAAAAAAAAGAAATAAAGAGTCTTTTCTAAAAAGTCCAGTAAAGGGCGCCTGGGTGGCTCAGTTGGTTAAGTGACTGCCTTCGGCTCAGGTCATGATCCTGCAGTCCTGGGATCGAGTCCCGCATCGGGCTCCCTGCTCAGTGGGGAGTCTGCTTCTCCCTCTGACCCTCCCCCCTCTCATGTGCTCTCTCTCTCTCTCTCTCTCATTCTCGCTCTGTCAAATAAATAAATAAATAAAATCTTAAAAAAAAAAAAATAAAAAGTCCAGTAAGACTTGTTGAAATGGTGTATGGGGAACACACTCCGTGCCCTACATGGGAGGTGTGAGAAGGGTGTCTGGGCCCTGGGCAGGCAAGTGGCAGGGGAATAACTAGCCTTTGCTGCTGGATGGGTCCTGGAGCACAATCACTGGGAAGCCTGGCCCAGAGACCAAAGTTACCTGACAGGGTCCACCCATTCGGTTGCATGCTGCTGATCCTGGATGTCCGTGTCCCCTTCAAGCACGAGGAAGGAGATCCGGAACAGCAGGGCCATAAACAGGGAGGAGAAGAAGGTCTGCACCTCCATCCGCCGACTTGGTTCCAGCAGGAGCTCATGGATGGCCCTGGTGGCCTGAGGGTGGGGAGGAGGGCAGGGGCATTATCATCTTTATATTCCAACTCTCAGGTCCTGTCACCATGAAATCTCTGCCCATAACCTATCACCATGATGGGCTGGCCCAGAAAAGCCCATGCTGCCAGGGCAAGTCAAAACTAAATTACTGTGAGCCAAGAAAATAAGGGGCAATTTCTAGAATGTTATTATTTTTAAATATTCTCATCATTGTGGTAGTTTTTTATTCTCTCAAAGACCTTGAGAGTTAAGGGGCTACTGGGGGTGTTTGTCTTACCTAAGTTCACGCAGGCAGAATGAGAAGTTAGTTCTTTGTCTCCCTACGAGGGAGAGAAAACCCTCCAACTACCGCAAGACTCGGCCTTTATAATGTTTGACCAAACACGGATATGTAAAAGGGAGAGGCCCCAAGAGCTCAGGACAGCGTGGGACAGGGCACCAGGGAAGCCCCACCCCCACCCCAGCACCCAGCCCCCTCCATGGGCCCCTCCATACAATCAACGGAGAGATCTCCATGCCATGGCTGGGCTCCTGGCCCTTTGATTTCTGGTGTGGAGCCAGTTTCTGCAGCAGAAATTCCATGATCACTTCATAGCCTTTGGGGAATGATGCCAGGATTTCCCAGGGCTTGTGAACCCCTCTGTAGAGGCAGAACCCCACCAACATGGTCACCCTCCATAGATTCCCCAGGGCTTCCAGGGAAAGGGACTCCAGGCTCCTTTGCCCAGTGTTCTAGCCCCTCTCTTTTTCTCCTTTCACTCCTTTAATTTTGTCATCTCCAGACCTCCCAGTCCTCTATCATCTCACACACAGCTAAATCCGAAGATGCTCACTTAGCCTGTGAGCCTGATCTGAGAAAATCTCTCCGGCCACACTTCAAAGTTGCAGATCAGTCAGAAGAGCCTCCTGTGATGTCCTCTCTATCGCCTTGTCCAAGCGCTCATTACCTACCTGGTACTTACTGGACATTAACAAGCCATCTTAATTTCCCAAAGATTAAGATTCTCTTAATTTTTAAAATTTCTTTACAAAGAAATTATTTCCTTCTGGTGCTGAGCTGGCCAAGACCGAGAAAGCACATTCCCGTCAATCACTTCCCCTGACTGGTGCTAAAAACACTGGTCAAGTACAAAAGCAACAACTTTTTGAAAATTATTTTGAAATTTTGAAAATTATTAATAGCAGGTGGATTTGGGGAAGAAAGCAACCATTTGAAAAGCAACCCTTACTGGATGAGTTTCCCAGATTTCTTTTCTCTCTTCTCTCCCAACTTTGACCTGAAGCTGGCCCCAGTGTTAAACTATGCAGCAGGAACATGAAACAAAATCTATGAGTAAAACACTGTCATTCTGGCAGAGGTCTGGGAAAACAGGACCCTAGGACTTGCGGCTTTAGGAGCGTATGGGTGGAATCTTTGTTTCTTTGTTTATTTTCTCTCCCAACCCTGTCCTGAGGATGACTCCAGAAGCCTACTGTGTAGTGGAAGTAGAGGTGGCAACTGCAATAACACGGGGGACTTATGACCCAGAGGGTAAGTGTGTGTGGAAGGGAGAAACCCCCTTTTCGCTCTCTTTTCTCTCTTTACTGCCTTAAACATGGACCCAGGTGTGCAATTATATTGGCATAAGCAGTAAAATTGTGAGAGAAAACCCAACTTTTACACAGAGAACTTGAAAAAGGTGTTCCTGGAAGCAGAAGGTGGGAGAAATCTCAAAGAGGAGAAGAGAGAGAGAGAAGTTCCTAGTTCTGTATGTGAGCCAACACCTAAGTTCTGGGAGCACTCCTACTACATGTGCACAGGGTAGACCCAAATGACCCTTGAGAAGCACATGTGTAAGACAGACCCAAATTAGCACAGCAAAGACTTTAAAAACTTAACAGACATTGAAATTAAATTCAACAGAAGGTGAGACAAAACTTGCAGTCTAAACCATACACCAGGTTGATTGCTTAAGAAAAAATCAATATTCTTCAAGAGAATTTCACAAGACCAAGAGCCTCACACCATCATATTAAAAATGTCCAGACTACAACCCAAATTTACTTGACCTATAAATAACAGGATAATGTGATCAATTCCCCAGGAAAAAAAATAATCAACAGATGCCAATCCTGAGATTACCAAGATGTTAAATTAGCAGTTGAAAACATTATTTTTCCAGATAAAGACTTTATGTAGACATTTTAAACATGCTCCATGAGGTAAAGATGAACATTATTGAGACGAATGAATAAATGTTCTCAGCGAAGGAATAAATGTTCTCAGCAAAGAAATAAAAGCTATTAAAAAAAAACCTAATGGAAATTTTAGAATTGAAAAATAAAATACCTGAAACAAAAATTAACTGGGACCAATAGGAAATTGGAGATGATAGAGGAAAGAGTTTGTGAACTTGCAGAAATTACACAATCTGGAAAAAAAAAAGAAATTAGAAAAAAATTAACAGGGCTTCAGGGACTTGTAAGACACCATCAAAAAGTCTAACATTCATGTCATTAGAATCTCAGAGAGAAGAAAGATATTGGTGCAGAAAGTGTATCTGAACTAATGGCCTAAAACTCCCCCAAATTTGGTATAAGACATACACTAACAGACTCAAGTTCAGTAATGCTCAAACAGGATAAACTCAAAGAAAACATGTCCAGACACAACATAATCAAACTTCTGAAAACCAAGATAAAAAAATCTTGAAAGCCACCAGGAAAAAAAACAGCGTATTGCATACAGGAAAAATGGTTTGAATTATTGCAGATTTCTCATCAGAGACTCTACAGTCCAGAAGAAAATGGAATGGCATATTTAAAGTGATAAGGGGAAAAAAAGCCATCAACCTAGAATTCTATATCCAGTGAAAATATTCTTTAGAAATTAAGGTAAAATAAAGACACTCCCAGATGAGAAAAACTAAGGGAATTTGTCACCTGCAGACCTGTTCTGAATGGCATGCTACAGGAAATTTTTCAAGTTGAGAAATTTTATCAGAAGGAAACTTGGAACTTCAATAATGAAGAGCAACAAGAATGGTAAATATTTGGGCAAATATAACAGACCATTTTTCTCTCAAGTTTAAAAATAGGTATGATTATTGAAAGCAAAAATTATAACTTTTTTGGTGTCTTTCTTCAATGTGCTAGATGTAATACATATCACAACTATAAGATAAATTAGGGAAGGAAAAGGAACCTATATTTTGAAAGCTTCTACATTTTCTTGGAGTTCTAAAATATCAACTTTACATAGACTATGAAAATTTGGGTATGTTAACAGTCCTAAGACCCACTAAAATCCTAAACCATTGGAACAAAAAACACAGGAGGCAAACAGAAAACAAATCATTAAGTGGTAGATTTAAATCCAACTATATATATATCTATATCTAGATAGATAGATAGGTACAATGGAATATCCTTTGCCATAAAAAATGAGAAAATCCTGAAGCACGTGAGTGGCTCAGTTGGTTAAGTGGCTGCCTTCGGCTCAGGTCATGATCCCGGGGTCCTGGGATTGAGCCCTGCATCAGGCTCCCCACTCAGCGGGGCGCCTGATTCTCCCTCTCCCTCTGTCTCCTGGCTTGTGCTCTCACTCTCTCTGTCAAATAAATAAATAAAATCTTAAAAAAAAAAATCCTGTCATTTGTGACAACAGAGGGACCTTGAGGGCATTATGCTAAGTGAAATAAGTCAAAGAAAGACAAATACCGTATGATCTCACTTATATGTGGAATCTTTAAAAATGAAACAAAGCAACAAACAAACTCATAGAATAACCTTAGCAAATTTTAAAGAATAGAAATCATACAAATGGACTTAAACTAGAAGTCAACAACAGAAAGATATCTGGAAAATCATCAAGTATTTGTAAATTAAACAACACTTCTAAATAATACATGGGTCAGAGAGGAAGTCTCAGGGGAAATTAGAAAAGATTTTGAACTGAATGAAAATGAAAATACAACATTTTTAATTTTTAGATGCAGCTAAAGAATGCTTAGAGGGAAATTCATAGTATTAAAAAGGTTTGTTTAAAAAGAGAAGTTCTCAAATCAGTAATCTACATATCCACCTTAAACTATAAAAAGATGAGCAAATTAAACTCAAAACAAGCCGAACAAAGGAAATAATCAAGATAAGAGCAGAAATAAATAAAATGGAAGTAGAAAAATAATAGGGGAAAAATCAATAAAAGCTGATTGTTAGAAATAATAACATTAAGAAACTGCTAGCCAGACTGACCAAGAAACAAAGACAAGACACAAATTACCAATATCAGTAATGAAAGAGGGGAAATCATTAGGGACATTCAAAGATAATGAAAGAATACTATAACCTACTCCTTGATCATAAATAAGGTAACTTAGATGAAATGAGCCAATTCCTTGAAATACAGGAACTATCAACATGCACTGAAGAGGACATAGATAATCTGAAGGGCCCTATAACTGCTGAATAAATTGAATCCATAGTTTAAAAACTTCCAACAAATAAGACTCTAGATCCAGATGTTTATATGCAACAAGCTGAACCTAGACTCAGTTCCTCACACCTAAATTAACCAAAAATGATTCATACACTTAAATATAACACTTGAAAGTATAAAACTCCTAGAAGAAAACATGGAAGAAAATCTATGACCTTAAACACAATCTATAACAGAAAAAAAAAAGATAAATTGGACTCCATCAAATTTAAAACTTTGCCAAAGACACTTAAGGGAATGAAAACTAATCCACAAAATGAGAGAAATATTTGAAAATCATATATCTGACAAAAGACTTGTGTCCAGAATATATAAAGAACTCTCAAAACTCAGTGATAAGAAAACAAACATCTCAAGAAATGAGTAAAAGATTTGGATACTTGAACAAAGAAGTTATATGGATGGCAAATAAACACATGAAATCATGCTCAACCTCATTTACTACAGTTAAATTAGGGCAATGTAAATTAAAATGATAATGAAATGTCACTACACACTTGGTAGAATGACTTTTTTTTTTTTTAATGAAAACACCAATATGAACAAGGATGGAAGCGACCGGAAATTTCCTATGTTGCTGGTGGGAATGGAAAAGCTACATGTGAGAAATAGTCTGGCAGTTTCTTTTAAAGTTAAACATACACTTCCCATATTGCCCAGCAATGCAGTCCCTAGGAATTTATCCCAGAAAAATGAAAGTTGATGTTCACACAAAAAGCTGTACACAAATATTTACAGCAGCATTATTATAATTACCAAAAATTGGAAACCATCCAAAAGGTAAATAAAAACAACAACTGTGGGATAGCCATACAATGGACTATTCAACTATTGATACATACAACAGCCTGGATGAATCCCAAATGCCTTACGCAGGGTGAAAGAAGCCAGACTCAAAAGCATGATTTTATTTTGTATGATTTGTGCTGTATGATTCTGTTTACCATACTCTGGGAAAGGCACACGATAGGGATAGAGAACTGATCAGTGGTGGCCAGGGGTTGGGTGTGGAGGAAGGAGTTGACTCCAGAAGGGTAGCACAGGGGAATTTTGGGGGGCTGATGGAAATGTTTTGTATCTTGATTATGGGGCTGAAGATTGTGACTATACATTTGAGAAAACTTATAGAACTGTATGGCAAAAGGGTGGATTTTACTGCATGTAAATTAAATCTTTTAAGTTTAAAAAAGGAAATTATAGCATAGTAGATTCATACAATATAATATTGTATTATATAATATATCATATTAGGCAGCTATCAAAATTATGTTCATAAAAAGGTTTTAACTTAAGAAAATGCTATGATAAAATGTTAATGAAAAAATATGCAAATTGGTATGTATGAGTATGAGTTTGATAATACATTTTTTAAAACCATTTTTAAAAGGTAGACGAATTAGGGGTGTCCGGGTGGCTCTGTCGGTTGAGTGTCCGACTCTTGATTTCGGCTCAGGTCATGATCTCAGGATCATGGGATCAAGCCCCAAATTAGGTTCCACACTCAGTGGGGAGTCTGCTTGAGATTCTCTCTTTCCCTAACGTTCTGCCCCCGCCCCTACTCATGCATGCACTCTCTCTCTCTCTCTCTCAAATAAGTTAAAAAAAATTAAAAAGGTAGACAAATTATAAATTATACTAGGTGATAACCGATTTAATTCTTTTTTTTTTTTTGCTTTTTCAAAATTTTACATGCTTTCAAATTTGCTGCAATAAGCCCATATTATTTTGACAATTACCCTGCCTCCAAATAAGTAAGGAACTTATTTGTATTGAAAATTGGGTACCTTTTAAGAATAAGCAAATTAGAAGATTGTCAGGGGCTGGTCAGTGGAATTGGTAGAGTCACCTACCTTTGTGACTGATCGTCCATCTTAAACAGGGTCAGGATAACTTCATCGGTGTAGGTCTGGGCCAGCAGGTAAAGGATCTTCTTTATGGTCCCTTGGGCTGTGGTTTCAGTGATGCTGTTCATATTGTGGCAAATGTACTGGATAATTTCTGGCACCTGAAGTGGGGGGAAGGAGGAGCAAGATTCATCTAGACACAGCGCCAGCTCATCAGGAGGCGCATAACCATGCACCCATATAAAGTATGTGGGCACACACTGATGTGAACCTGTCCGCAGCAGTCACTGCCCCACTCTGGTCAGACACTCCTGTGTGGCTGGGGGCTGTCCTGTCCCCCATATTTTAAGAGGGACAAAATGAAGAGCAGCAGGGAAGAGTGCCTCAAGTTATGCCTGGAAACCATGTCATGAGGAATGAAGCAAGTGTCTGGGGATGACTAACTTGGAGATGTGGGGCTAGGAGACATAAAGCCTATTATAGGGGAAGAGGAGGGCTCAGGTCTCACAGTTTACTAGCCATGTGGACTCAGCAGTGTGCCTGGTGGTGAACAGCACAGGCCCTGGAGTCACACGCCTGAATCTGAACCTCACTTTCTTGCTTACCAGTTGTGTGACCTTGGGCAAATTTTTCATCCTTTCTATGCACGACTTCCTCATATAGAAAATGAAAACAACTTTAACGGCTCTGAGCTAATACATCTACATTGGTTGGAAACAGTGTCTGTCACATAGTAAGTGCTCAAGAAACTTCAGTTACTAAGGCTTTAGCCTCCTTGAGCAAATTTTCTAAATTAGCTTTTTCTTTTCCCCATTTTTTAAAAAAGGTTTTATTTATTTATTTGACAGAGCAAGAGAGTACAAACAGGGGGAACAGTAGAGGGAGAGGGAGAAGCAGGCTCTCTGCCGAGCAAGGAACCCGATGCAGGACTCAATCCCAGGACACTGGGATCATGACCTGGGCTGAAAGCAGATGCTTAACCATCTGAGCCACCCAGGCACCTCTCTTTTCCCCATTTCTAAAAAGAAAACTATTACTTCCTTGCAGACCTGTTGTAAGAATTCAATAAAATAACATGTGAACAAGGCTAGCAGAGTGTGCGGCACCTAGTTTTAGTAAAACGTGAATATTAATTGATTTCTGCATAACTCCAAAAAGCAAACTTGGGCCAGGGACTAGAAACTGTGGGGATGACGATTTCGGTTCACAATAAGGTAGAACTTTCTAATAATGAAAGTGATTCACAAATTAGAATGAGCTATGGTTTAAGGTAGTGAGCTTCCCAAAAGCGCTTTGAGGAGAATCTGGCTACTCGAGTCAGGAGTGTTCCAGAAGGGGTTACAGGCATTGAGTGGGAGGTTGCAGTGGTTGACCTCTGGGGTGGCCTTCAGCTCTAAGAGCTTATTCCTGGTCTGCTCTGAAGCACTCAGATGGCTCTCTAGGCCAGAGAGAGCGGCAAGGGTAAGACTCAGGATAATAACTGGCCCTGTTGTGGAGGTGTCATGAGCAAGACAGAGGAGTAGGTTAGGCCATTGAGATGAGAGTGAATCTATCAATGCATAAGACCTTTAAAAATGGGATGTTAAGGGACAAAAATAAACTATGCTATCTTAATTTTACCGACAACCAGTTCCACCTCTGACAAAAGAGTCTCTGTATTCCATCACTGATTCATGTCAGTGTCTCATAAATTCATATGTATATATGAAATATATGAGATAGATTGATAGATCAATAGATTGGTAGATTGAACAATAGACAGATAGACTGATCTCTGTCTTGACTGTGCATTCTCCCACCTGAATGAAGAAGGCTCCCACAGACCTAATATACTGTTTGGAAGCAGAAGGAATAACTGAGTTCTCTCATGGTCCTAGGACCCCACAGTAGTCTCCTGCTATAACTTTGACTCTATTCTTCCCTTTCTGGTAGACATGGAGGCCAACAGGTCACCCTTTTTCATGGAAAGGCCTTTCAGACAATTGCAAACAACTCATTTAACTTCTTCTCCTCTGAGTTAAAGGATTTCAACTCGTTAAACCCCAACCAGTAGGAAATCAAACAGAACAAGATCCAAAACAGTGAGGAAGCATCCTTAACTTGACCTTGAACCATTAAGTCCCTCTGAGCTGGTACCTTCCCAATTTCTGGCATAGAGTACTTCAGGATCATCTTCAGCATCTTGGAAGCAGCACAGACATCATGCCTGTTGGCATTGGTCATGGCCTCCATTGACACCATTATAACATCTGCTCTCTCTTCAGGGGTCAGGTATTTCCTGAAGAACTGAAGAAAGAAGAGCAACAGCTGTGTCTGCCATGTCAGCATCCCACTCTGGGACTGCACAAAACCTCCGGACTCCAAAGAGACCAGTCAACCTGGGTCCCGTGGAGGCAGCCCCTGGTCAGCATCTGATTATTCTATGGTGCGAGGCCAGGCTCCAGAGTGTCACCAGCTCCTAAGTTCCCAGGTAAGAACAAGGGTCCAGACAACATGGTGCAGAGAACAATGCAACAGGCATTTCTGTTTTGAATTTGGAACGTAATTAGGTGATCCCATTTGGAAATGAGTTCTGATGTGTAGTGAGTTCACAGCATTCCAGAGCAAGGAATGACTGTTGTGGTCTAAACCACGTGTGGCTCATGTCTCTGGATCCATACACCCCCGTGAAGCTCACTCACTCACACAAGAAAGAGAGTCCCAATTCTGTGCCTGGTTCTATGCCAGGAGCTGGGGAAGCCCACACACACAAGACACCCCCTGCCTTTGCCCTCAAGGAACTTACTGTCAGGGCAGGGCAGGTAAATAGGCAATCATAGTGCCATGTTAGAAATGCTAGTAAGGCACATAGTGGGGACACCGAAGCCAGACTCGCAAGATTAGACAAGGCTTCCTGGAAGAAGTACCTCTGAAGTCCATACTTTGGTGAAAATGGGGGAAAGAGTTCCAGGCAGGGACCAGACTGTGCAAAGGCCTGGAGAGAGAGGAGTTCAGTCCAGGCGCTGTGTCCCGCAAAGGACCCAGACTGGGTGGGGAAGGGGCATCTAGACAAGATGAGGCGAGGGAGTTAGGCAGGAGTCACATTGGGCCAGGCCTCACTGGCTATGTGAAGGCTTTAGGATAAGAACAATGGAGAGTCAGTGCAAAGGGGAATAATATGATGATATGTGCATTTGAGAAATAATTCTCTGATGGCAGTGCAGAAAACGGTGTGATGTAGAGCATGGTCAGAAATGGCGATCGGCAGGAGGCTGTTGCAGTATCCCGGGCAAGAGACTGATGGTGGACCGAGTCAGAATAGCCGTGGTGGGGCTGGGGCAGAGTAGATGGACTCTCATCCCATTCAGGATGAGAATGGACAGATGTGGGATTGAACTGGATGTGGAAAGTGAGGGGGAGGAAAGAGGAAGAACGATTCTGGGGTATCTGGCTGGAATGGCTGAAGTAGACTAACCACTGGGGACACCATTGCGGAGACCAAAGGTACGCCTTTGCTGAATGACTAGAATGAAAGCTAGGCCAGAAATAAAGGTACAGGAGCACAATCTGTGGGTGGGGGAGAGGGTTGACTGTGTCCCTATTTTACAAACTCTCTCAATGACCCTCCAACTTCAGTCAACTCAAGTGAAGCTAGGGGAGTGGGCCTTATCCCTCCAGCATGCTGTCCATGAGACCTTGAGCTTTGGGGACAGTTCCCTGGGTGGGGGAGTATTCCTCTGTGGCCCCAGCCAGGCCCTCTGTAATCGCTACTCAGCCATCTTTCTTCCCTGCGGATGCTCCCCATCTGGGCACTCCACACACGGTGGAGAGCAAGGGTTACCATTGTGAGACTCTGTATGTTGGCAAACCATCCTCCCCGGAAATGCTTCTGCAAGTCCTTCAGAATGGCCTCTGTCTTCTGTTTCATACCTTCGGTCCAAAAACAACAATTAAGGAGCAGGGCCTTAACAGGGAGAAAGGAACATACCCTCTCTCACTTCCCCTCCAAACCTCAGAGATGAACAGGGTTCAACAGGTGGAGTAATGTTTGCCCAGCAGAATGGGGAGAGCTCCCTAGTGCCAGGCTGATGCGTGGAGGGAGACTGTAGTTGGGGAGGTGGTCTGGCCCCTGCTGTTCCTGTACCCGTGCCACTGTGTGGACTGTCCCCACCCCTCACCCCTACAGCTGAGCAAAACAGGAAGTACATTTTATTGGATCATAAAAAGCCGAGGTTTCTGAAACACCCTTTAGGGCATACTTGCAAATTCCTCTAGCACCTCTGTAAGCATGAGTGGCTGTCTGTATCTTTGTTTCTTCTGGGGCAGAGAAGGTCTAGATCAAAGATTCGCAAGTTTGTTCCCTGAGAAAGGATGCTCATTTTCTCAGTCATACACCCAGCAGGAGCGATGGGGTCTCATAGGTGGCTGCGAACCTAGCTCCCCCTTTATTCCAAGGATCTTCTAGAATCTTTTAAAACAGGGTATTGCATCAGCAATGGGCTTGGGGTTCATTTAGATAAAGCCTGTTTACTCCAGTGCCCCTGCAGGAGAGAACTGCCCCCCGGTGTGCCTGACACAAGGTAGGCATTCAGGGACCTGTGCTGGTTTGATCCTGTCACTCAGCAGGTCCCCACAGCTACAGCCATGTAACGCCCCAGGCTCGTATCACTTACTTCTATGAAGCACAAGGATTTTGAACAAGTAATGCAATGCCTCCGAGGCCCCTGTGCTGATCTCATAGTTGGCGTTCAGGCAGAACAGGCCTAAGATGCCGATTAGCTTCCCACTCATGGAGAACTCCATCATGTGCTGCCAGGAAGAGGAAACTCTTACCTCCCCACCATGACCATCGTCCCCCTCCAGCCTCCCCTTGCTTCCCACATCAGTAAGTTATGTGCTTGTGTGTGGCCCCTCACCCCACCAACTCCACTCCACTCTGTCCTGGAGTGGGGAAAACTTTCCAAATGCCACCCAGGGACATGGCGCAGCCAGACACCTCAAATATGTTAACCAGTGGAAAGCTGTGGGCCCAACCCAGCTCTCCAGGCCAAGGTCTCCCACCAAGATGTGTCTGGACAATTAGAGTTTACTAGCTAAGGGCAATATCCCATAGAAGCAGAAAAGGCACTCATGCTAAATAAACAGGTAAACAAATAAATAAGGTGCTCTGGTGAAGCCCTGCAGAGCCTCGGGCTCAGTCAGGTGCCCCACGTTCAGAGAGGCAAGGCCCATGGGTCAGCCTTTCCCCCGACCCCAGGCACTCACCGACAGCTCAGGGAAATTGCAAATAAACCTCAGCATCTGGGCAATTGTGCCCAAGGCCCGGGTCTGTTCGTGCACTTTCTCTGACAGTATTAACCAAGGCAAGATGATCTGAAAAGGCAGCATAGAGAAACCACCAGTGCCATCTATGGGAGCACTGCCCTCATCCCTCCTTGCTTCGAATCTACCTCCCCAATGGCCAGAAAGACAAACAAGTGCTTGCTTTGGCAGCTCATATGCCAAAAAGAAAAACAGATCATCTATTGTCAGGGGTTGGGGTGGGCAGAGGCGTTGACTTACAGAGTCATGGGGGGGATTTGGGGGGATGGTAGAACTGCTCTGTAGCTTGATTGTAGTTGTGTAGATATGACTGCGTTTGTCAAAACTCGCAAAACTACCCACTGGGAAGGGGGCATTATACTGTATGTAAACTATGCCTTAATAAAAATATGAAAAAAAACTAAGCCAAAGGCAAAAAAAGAGAGAGAGAGAGAGAGAGAGAGAGAGAGAGAGAGAGAGAGGAGCCCTTGGAAAAACTAAATAGACCTTAAATATTTTTTTAAAATTAACCATCTTTCTGATCCCACTGTGCAAAGTCAAATATGAAATAAATGAGGTACTATGCAATCATATAGTTTTTGTAGGAAAAATTATGTCTAAGATAGCCACACGTGATTTTTTTTGCTTCAGAATTACCTCAAAGTAGCAAATATAATCTAAATCTTGTTGCATATAGAAAATCTCATTTTTATCATTTTAATTTCATTTATCAAGATAAATCGATAAATGAAACTTTGGAAACGATTTCAAGTGGTGACTTGGGGAGCACCATTTACCTTTGGATAATGAGGACCCCAATAGTGGATTTCCCGAGGACCCCACCCTGATGGAGAACCAAAGCTCTGCATCTTTGTTCCCCATAAATTCAAATTATATTAGTGCATTTACTAGTCCACTTACAGGGAAAGTACCCACAAAGCGCAGAAATGCTTCTCAACAAATGTACCAGAAATGATACCTTCCAAAAAAAACCATGTCACTAATCCCAATAGGAATATGTTTCCTCTCTAGATACGGCCCTCATCAAAGATTTTTTTTAAGATATCCAGGTGATCCTGTCTCCGTATTGGTAGTCAAATATAGTGTTTTATCCAAAATTGTATTATCCTCATTAATTACCATCTTGTTGATGAAAGTTGGTTTCAAGTGACTCGGCTATTTCCCCAACTCAAATGCACCCCAAAGATATGACAATGTATCATAACTAAGAATATCTGAAAGGCTCTAAAGATAGAGAGAGAGCAATACAGGAAGTGGTCTCCCAGTCATCGTGATGCTCGCTGAGGTTTGAGAACTGATGGCCTCTGGCTTGAAAGACCTCCAGACTATCTTAATACTCCTTGTCTTTCCTCCCCAAAAACCAGATTTAATATAGGGCCCCAGTCTGACTGCTTTCTACAGCCACTTACCTCCAGGAAGTTCTGCAGTATGGGCATGTTGGGGTCCATATCCTCCATTACAAGAGCTTGTAACATGTCATCTAAGGCTTGGATTGTCTGACAATTGAGGAAGCGTGGAGTGTAGGAGGACTGACAGCCACCGGACCAGCCTGGCTCCCTGGGGCACTCCCCCACGTCCCTCAGACCCCTCCTCAGGAGGAAGGAAAGTGGGGGCCAGTCCAGCTCTGCCGCCACACACCGATCTTCCCAAGTGCTGACCTTTCTTGACATCACTGAAGACTGGACCAGGGCCAGCCCTAATTGTAGGCCAAATAGTAAAATGTAGGCATTGGGCCATGCTCCCCAACAAATACAGTCCCCGTGAGATTCTCACCATTAGGGATTCATTCTGTTCTTATAAGGAAAGTTCTATTTTTAAAACTGAAAATTCTTGAGATTTGGCAGTCTACTGGTCAGTTATTCCATAAAATCTATGGGTTTTTTCATCATATTGTCTCTTAAGACTGAGTTTGCCATGGACCTAGAGAAATGAGAGCCTTTGTGAGAGAGGACATCGGCAGTGTGGGAACATGAGCCACTCCCTGGGGAGACCGGTGAGGATGAGGCAGAGGAGTTACTCCTGGGCAGCATGAGGACCCCTGAAGGAGGGGTCAGAGAGGAGGGGAGGAGGGGAGGAGGGGAGGAGGGCCCAGGAGCTAGGAGGACAGAGGAAGCCTCTCTGAAGACAAATCCTCTCCCGTGGAGACCTCCACCGGGAGGTGATGGTGGCGATTACCTGGAGGTAGAGACTAGCACTCTCTTTTCGGTCTAGACTGGGCATGATGAGTGGCAGAGAGAATGTGCTAGAGATGCAGGCATTTACCAGGTCCAGTTTCTGGGATAAGTAGAATGGTGGATTCACCTGGCTGGGGGGAGAGGGGAGGAACGACAAGAGAGCTTCGGAGGGTATTAGTGACAGGCTGGGTGAGGCTTCTAAGACCCTATGATACAACCTGCTCTGCTACCTTTTCTGAGGCACAGGAAACAGTGTGGACCTGAGCCCCCAAACACTTTTCAATGGTTTCCTTGCCAGGGAAGGAGCTTCCTGGCTTCTTGGGAAGGCTTTCCTACACTGGATGTCCTAATAGGCTTCTAATAATGACATTTGAGGTACCTTCACCACCCCTGGATGCTGGTAGATGAGGTGGCAATCATGGGGCCCTGCCACCCACAGCCCAAAATTCAAGTCCCCAAACCTTGCCCTTCCTCCCAGCCCAAATGTTCTCAGCATCAGAGACCGGGGGGCTCAGAGGAGGAAACAGCAAGGAAGGAACCTCAGGGCCACGATGCAGAGCATGGCTTGCTGACGCACATTGCTGACCAAGACCTCAGTGGATTCTTCAAGGATTAATAACTAGAAGGGCCAGGAAGAAAACAAGAATTTCCCTCAGAGATGCCAACTCTTGGCTCTGGGACTTGGTCATCCCCATCCCTGGTTGATCAACTCCCAGAAGAGGTTGGGGTCTTTCTCACCTCAATTTTCTTGGCCAGAATGGTTTTAGGAAAGTAATCATTCATATTGCCATTCGCCTGGGAGTGAACAGCGCTGCTCAAGGTGTCCACAGCCCTTAGGAACTTCAGTTTGTCTGACTGGGACTAGGAAAGAACACAGAAACTGCCCGCCTATGAGCCAGGCCTCAGCCCTTAGCTCTTCCTACAGGCCGGACCTGCAGCCTGCACTCCAGACCCTGCCCCTCCTTGTCAGCCCAGACCTCAGAGCAGCCAGGATGGATGGCTCGCTTGATTTCCTCATCAGTTCCCCCATCTCTTAGACTGACACTCGTCAATGTCCTGGCCCCCTCAGAGCCCTCTGGGGACAGTGAGCTAGGGGTCCGTAAGGAAGATTCTTTGCACAGATCCTGTCTGCTGACTTGACCTAAGATTGTCCAGGTCAGAAGGCAAAAATGAGCTGAATTTCGGGGTGCCTAGGTGGCTCAGTCAGTCAAGTGTCTGACTCTTGATTTCAGCTTAGATCTCAGGGTTGTGAGATTGAGCCCTGTGTGGGGCTCCGTGCTGGACGTGGAGCCTGCTTAGGATTCTCTCTCTTCCTCTTCCTCTGCCCTTCCCCACCTTCTTTCTCTCTCTCAAAAAAAAAAAAAAAAAAAAAAAAGCTGAATTTCAGGTAACTTCCAAGCCAGGGCTAGTATTCAAAACCCAAGGAAGCATGAGCCCTCATGCCTTTTCTCTTTTCCTCCTCAGCTCTCAAAACAGTTCAGAGAATTTCCTTACCGCTTGTCCTTGTTCTAGAAATTCCAAAATGAACTCACAGGCGTCTCTTTCTGACTGACGCAATCCTGCAAAGGGATGTGGTTGGGAGGAGTTTGGTTGATTATC